CTAGCAAGGTTACGCGTGTCAACGAAGTCGATTAGTCGTGTATCGGTCCCCCGTCCTCTCGCGGCCAATTCTAAGGGAGAAATCCCGATCCTGGGTGTCCGGTGTCGATCTCGCGATCTTTCCAACCGGATGGGAAATCGCGTTGCAGATGACGCGAAGTCGAGTCCTCGCGTTAACTCTCGTCGTTAACGTGGCGAACGATCGTGAACAGAGGCGGAGGATTGTTAGACAGGCCGCTTGAGAGCCGAGCCATTTTAAACGAGTGCCATAAACGATGAATAAAGAGTCTCTCTCTCGAGCCGCTGTCTCGGAAAAAAGCGAAAAAAGAAATAGAAAAGAATCGCGACGACGGCGCGTGTAAGCGATTCGAACAGAGGGAAAGATGGAAGGAGAGACGTTGTAAAGTATTTATTGTAACTGGGGAGCGAGACCGGGACCGGAAGCGGCGAGATCGCGAGAGGATCGAGCGTGAACCAACCTCGATGGATCATCGCGAGAGGTTCGTGTGAGAAGAAAGAGAGAGAGAGAGTGTGTGTGTGTGTGTGTGTGTGTGTGTGTGTGTATGCGTGCGTGTGTTTTTGGATCAGCGACGATGAACTGAGGTTGCCTTATAACTATCGAGCCTATATTATATATAGAAGTATATATGATATCTGTGAAGATCGTCGACGATGATCGAAGAAAAAAAATTACGAAATAACGAAATGTGTGCTTGTGGGTGATGCGTGGAAATGAAGTTCGTGTGAGAGATATGTATACCAGTAGACAGAAAACGTACTATTATTTGAAGAATTTTTAGATAGATAGTTAGAGAGTGTGAGAGAGAGAGAGAGAGAGGTGAAGAGAGCGAGAGAAATTTTATCGTACGGTCATTAGTATTAAAATACCTGCTGTAATGGATGTAAGAGAGAAAAGAAAAAAGATTAAAAATATTTATAGCAACGAATTGTGTATCTACTATTCTTCTTCTTCTTCTTCAAAGACTCTTTGGAAGTTCAAACGATTACGCTTATCGCAGTTACGCCGACAATGTGAATCGAGGAGAAAGCCTGGAAAAAGATTGTTCCTTAAAATCCTTCCTCTCGATCGTGGAACCCACTTTGCAGTCGAGACACAGCCGCCGAAACGATTTTATTATTCAGCATTGTCGCCTGCTCCGCGTGCCCGCTTATATTTAGCCTCCGTGCACCTTACCGTAGCCGGTTCACTCGCCGACAATCGAACCATAAACGAAATACGAGGAGAAAGAATATTTCGAGAGCAGCGACGGTAGAAACGCGTCGGAAAAGCGCGCGGAAAATTCTGCGAGGTGACAGGTAGGTGGGAGAATATGAATAGCTGAACACCGAGTGTCCGGTGTGTTCTTTAAAAAATTCAAGAAGAGTCGGGTCTCGTTGCGCGGCTTTCGTTTTACACGTCGCAGCACGTGAAAAATTTTAATTATACATCGGCGGAATTCGTCGGTATAGGTACGTATTCGGAAGCTGGCCAATCAACGTGATTGCACCACTTGACGAAACATTGTTACCATACCTTTCGACTATTCGCAATTTCGCTCTAGACTCGGTTTTCAATTAATTTTCGTGCGTCGAGTCACAGGGCTGTCGTTGGTCTCGAAATTGAAATATGTCGAACGAAGACTTTTACAGCTCTGCCTCGAGTGTGTATATTCTAATTCCAGGAGAGAAACAGAGCCTTGGAACTGTATCGTAGGAAAGTTTTTACGAAATGATAATTAAACGAGGAACACGAACTTCTCTTCTTTTTCACTTTTTGTTGTTGTTTCACTGGTCGGTTTATCGTACGGTTTATCGCTCGGTTTACTAAACGTACGTCTAACGAGCAACGTGATTAATCTCATTCGGCAACGAAAGCGTGATTACTTCATTTCGTTGTTTATTGCAACGAAGATTCCCACCGAAGATCCGTGTAGCTTATTCGAAACGGGAAATTACATTCTCCTTACATCGATTCACGTGCTGATAAATAAATGCATTTTTTAATTAAGCCTGTCTTCTCTCTCTCTCTCTCTCTTTGGACGTAAATTTATGATTAACGATCGTTACGTAAATATCGCAACGCAGGGGAGAATTATCCACGCGTGTCAGATGAATATTTCAACGAAAGTATTATCGGCGCGAAACGAATTCGTTGAACTTTTGGATTCGATGGCCTGACGAAAATGAAGGAAAAAAGCACACCAGGAATAGAAATGTAAAAATGTAAAAACCGCGTATATGCCGGATTATTCTGATTTCGAGAGGAAAAAATTCATTGGAAGACAGTGACCCGGGTGCTAATACCGAGGAAAAATTTCATAGAAATATAGTTTTAAAGCATTCAAAGAGATCGTAAAGTTTACGTGTTACATACCCGGCGTTATACATATTTATAATACACATTCAGTTGTCCTTTTTTCGTCGCTCGCGTGTGCTGATAATTGGCAATTTGGATCTCTGTAAACGAGATCAGGCTTGTTTCACGGTTACCTGGCTGTCCACGTGTAAAGGGAGCGACTGAAACACGCGATGGTCACATGTGGGTAGGCTCTGATTATGTCAGTGGGAAGGGTTAGATCACGTGCAGTTGCTGTGATAACGAAAAAGGCGGGGGAACACCCTACGTGAAACAAACTTTCCACTCAACTGTGCGCGCCGACCTCTAGATTATACCTTACGCATTTTTTCTCGTTACAAACAAACTCGTCTGACATGAAGAGTAAATAATATCGATACTCTAAAAGAATTGTTGAGTGGTTCGGTACCGCGTGGGTCATCGATGGGCCACGTTGGACTTTTCGCCTCAGATCGTTTGGTAATTTAGCGTAAAGAGAAATATTATTGTGTAACAATAATGGTTGGGTTATCGGTGACCCACGATCAGGATGCGCGGGCCGCTTTCGTGATTGTCATCCGTGGGTCACCGGTGACCCACGACCAAGACATCGTGGAGCGGTTTCGCGACTAGAAAGTACGATTCCTCTGTCGATAGTGCAATTATCATCCGTGGGTCACCGGTGACCCACGACCAAGACATCGTGGAACGGTTTCGCGACTAGAAAGTACGATTCCTCTGTCTATAGTGCAATTATCATCCGTGGGTCAGAAAAGTAGTGTACATAATGAATGCAACGACGTGGGTCATCGTTGGCCCACGCAACCTGAATGGAATGTGACCGGAAATGACGCGGCGCTCGGTATTAATTTTTGATTAAATAACACAACAACTCGAGTTTGACAAATAAGGCTGACGTGACGTCAGCGCGGATATACATGTGATACATGTGTGCATGCATAATGACACGCACGTATGGCGATGAGTTGGACGAAGATATCGATAAGGAGAAGTTCGAAGCTCTTGTTTCGTCTATTCGCAAGTGTGAAACTCGGCTGAGGGAATACCAAGAGCTAATGAAATAGCAGAATGTGCCAGGAAGTTCTGAATGATCAGCACTGATTATGGGAGAAGAACAGCGAGGAAGTCGTTACGGACTCTGGTTATCTCCTCCTAATAGTTGGCGCTTTCCTAGTAATAGTAACATATGATAATATAATTATTGGATATTCTAGTACTGATTTATGCGTTTCGATGAAAGCATGTTCCACTACTATCGTTTGGCAACATTCCACGAGAATTTCCTGTGACGTTGTCGTTAATAAATAATTATTTACCATCTGTTATCAAAGCAAGCATACTATCTTCGCCTATTTGTGAAAATTTTCATTGCAAATATTCCGGGGATATATATTAAAAAAATAACTAAACTTATTGTTCATGACTCGTAGAATATCAACGTAACAAAGAACAGTACAGTCAACAATTATCTTCCCTTCCAAACGAACGTTTGTATTCCTGTAATGAGTAAGACGAGGAAAGCAATAGAGAGAGACAAGGACGGCGATAAAAAAGGAAAGATACAGCGATAGACAAGGATGGCGATACGTCTGCGCGTTAGACAAGGAAAGCAATGGAATTAGACAAGGATAGAAAAATTGGTGGGCGAGACTAACGCCATCTCGTGGTTAGCAACGCGAACTACGACTTTTTATTAGGATTACAGAATATAAACAGAGGTATTAGAAAAGGATCGCACTAGTGTGCGACAAGGACAGAGAGAGAACGCTTCCTATTGGCTGGCGGACAGCTAAACTCCACCTCCCACGGGCCCCGTCAAGTCGGTCGGGGAAAAATCATTAATAACTCATTAATTAAGATGATTTTGTGAACTTTTAGAACAGAAGAATGAAGAGTGGACCTTCAGCAACTTTCACATATATTTTTTAGTTCTCTAACTCCTTTCAGTAATTAATTATTAACAATTATTGTGTGGAATGTCGCAATCGGTACGACTCACACTTACGGTTTTTCATTAATACCATTTTCAGTAAGAATTTCCGGTACATGTTTCTACGTTAATATGAAAGGTAACATCTTTAGCTACATTCTTTTATAACTTTCATTAACATATCCGTTGCAGTTTGAGAGTTATTAATAATTCTTCGGGTGAGTACTAAACTCGTCGCATTCATGTATAACACAGTTTCGTTATTTCCATAAATATGCGTGATTAATTGTACACTTTTATGCATGAAGAATATAGCACCGACTTTCCTTTACATTCTCCAATAATTTTCGTACACGTGTCTAATACGGTTAATTAAATATTAACGATTGTTCAGAACAGTTCGGCATGCTCGGGTACGATAAGCCGGTAACTCTTCCATATAATATTTAATAACTTCTAAACTACGAAAGCTACGTTAATAAAAGTTATAGAAGAAACTAGCTAAAGAAGTTGCCTTTCAGATGCATCTAGTTATGTGCATAAGAATTTAGCAAAAAGCTATGAAATTATTGAAAAACCGAGAAGTTACTTGACGGTCTGCGGTAACGTTCCCGACGTCCTGTACTAAAATTATTAATAACTAATTATCGAAACAACCTAGCATCTTAAAACTTATATGAGAAAGTTGCTGAAGGTCCATTCTTCATTCTTCAATTCTAAAAGTTCACAGAATCATCGTAATTAATGAGTTATTAA